TCACTGATAAAGGGAGCCAGCGAATTCTTGAGGTCAAACACATGCATACAAAAGCACTCCAAAACTGCCTTTAAGATATCATGAAGCTTCATACAGCTTCTGCCCGTCCCACTGACAAGGCGTCATAGCCGGGTACGACGACAACTGGGCCTGCTTAAATCCCCTGTCAATACCGAAAAAAACATCGATTAGCAGTTGCCTTCATCCCTATGGCTCAAGAATAGGGCACCATCAGCATCATCCACACCCACCTTTTCATTGAAACTAAATCGTACTTGCTCCTGTGGATCAAGGTGTTTGGCATGCGCCTTTCCATCTGCTGCGTCATAGACTCAGCCAGGCGTCATACACCCAATCAGGATCCATCTGTTCGAAGGTCCCATTCGCCTGAAGAATTCCGCGAGACCAGGCTCCCGCGGCCCAGTAGACGCCACCCATCACTCCGGCCAAATAGAGCAATGCCTGGTCGGATGAAGCTGGTTTTTTAGGGCAACAAGGTTGGCACCAGGAAATTCGGAAAACTGCAACCTCCCTGTTACACCTCTTGCCCGATAGAGCAATCCGTTGCAGCTCTCCAAACAAATTGTGTCTTCAAGAACTCATTCACCTAAGGAAGGCCGTCTATGGAACAAACACATGCCCCTTCTTTTTTGTTGACACACCACAATCAAAAAACAAAGGAAACGTTAACAGCGGACAATTCTGTGGTCAGTCACCTGAACAAACAGTCCCAGTGGAGAACTTGACGTGATCATACAAATCTACCGATTTCAAGATTAATCTTCCCACCTGCCCACAGTGTCTTAGCACTGCACCTTCTCCTGACTTACCCTTCAAAACAAAGGTGTGAAAGGATCAGGTGCGGCGCTCCCTCAGGGCAGGACGCCTTCGCAGGAGATCATTGGACGTGGCCAGGCGTTTTTGCTTCGCGCGCGTGAATTGTAATCGCAGCCCGCATGGGTTTGGGACACCAAGCACCACCTAATATAATTCGGTATTTTGTGTATACACAGTATACATCTGTTTTACTTCATTTGTGGTTATCCAGCTCCCTACAGACAGACACTACTAGTACCATAACCGCCCTGCACAGGGAAGGGTTGCATAGCGAGCAGATTCGGGTGCAAAATCGAGTACTCGAAAAACCTGGTTGGCCGACCTCCCTGGTACCACTAGTCTAGTCTGTTGTTTATCGCCATATTTCGATGATTCAGACTCCATCTTCTCCAGGATGTACAAAACAAATCGGGGCAACCCTTCAGACTTCGCATCATCTGTCCGATCTGAACTTAATGGACTCTGTTTGCGACGTAATTCTGCAGGATACAGAACGAAATGCCAAAATGGTCAACATCTACAGCGATAGATACACGATGAACCCAACATCAGCTCAGCTGCTGTCGATGACCGGATCATGCTATCCAGCACAAGGGAAAGCTCCTGTCGCACAAGATGTTGCAGGGTCTTTAGCATGGAGCAATTGAGCTTGGCAAACAGACCCCTCGACCATCAACGTGCTCCAATTGATTAGCAGCAGAATTCAAGTGGAAGACCGCAGGAACTGATACCAACAAGGTGAGAAAGTGGCAAACCAGTGAGACACACCTTGCGTCTCCTTGTTAGGGAAAAGTCAGCCCTAGGCCATGCCACTTAAAGTTTGATCACCCGACTATAGAATCAGTACAGTACCTGCCTGTTTGAAGAAACCTGCTCAAAGACCTGGTCACATTCCAATCTTGACCAGTCTTCTGCCATCAAAACACATCCTAACAACAACAAAACACCTGCCCTCACGGCCAAGAAGGACTTGAGAGAGGAGGGGGTGAACGAAAGGTAGCAGGCAATCACAAGCAACCCTGGTAAAAGTCCATGACGGCGTGAACCGGCGCAGGGGGGATTTGATTCAGGGGGGGGCCCCCCCCCCGACGAACAGAATCAACTCTTACAGGACCAAATTCAATGCACAATCCCAACTCCTGATTGTAATACATTTTTGCTAAAGCAAGGAGAACTCAGGTAGCTCAATCTACCTTTCGTGAAAAAACAACACGACGGCCTTCAACTTCGAGGAGGTCCGCGCAAACTGGTAGACGCGCAGCATCCGCCAACTGCGGAGCCCGCTGAAGCGCCAAAGCCAGCCAGGTTTCTCGAAAAGGATCACGTCCATGGCAGCACAGGAGACCTCATCCGCACCCGTTGGTCGATCTGCAACCGTGGATGTGCGTTCCCTTCTCCCTTTCAAGGGGAACATATTAGTTGCGTCGCTCCTAGTAGCGATGCCCTTTGCTCTTAGTAGCGTCCTTGCTCCTATTAGTAGCAATGCCAGGAGCCCCTAATAGCTTCTTATGAATCGGAGTGTTGGGGGATGTGTAATCCAAGAAGTCCATTTGACCACCCTGGAGGTTGCTGGTCTCCTCCATGTCAGTGTGTTTCGATTGTGTCATGACCCGTCCATTCGACTCCGCAAGCCGGAACGGAGCCACCAACCATTTGGGAGGTCAAGAAACTGGTCCAACCGAGCCACTCACGTGCTGTCAGTGGCCGGTGGGCCTTTGCGAAGTGTCCAATGCTCCAAGATTTGGAAAAAGGAGCCTCTGTCTGCTATACGGCTGGCCTAAATAACCGTTACTGTATATAAATAAAGGAGCAAGGGCATAATTTATAAATAAAGGAGCAAGGGCATAATCAGCTTTGCCCTTGTTTTGGGTGTTGTAGTTACTGTTAGGATTACTACGCCCCAGAACACCCAAAACAGCCCCTCTCTCACATGTTCCGAGATGCAAAGATCATTTCACACAAGTTCCGACGGTTGAAGAAATCTGTGCCGGCGCCCAGCACGCGGATCGTGAATTCGATGCCGCACCAAATCCTCGATGCCGCACCATGCACAGACGCACAGCGACACGGACCGTGCCCGGAGTCACACTGAAGTGGTTCAAAAGGAGAATCACATGGCAGGGGTGAAAGAAAAACGAGTAGAAACCAAGGAGAAGCCGCCCAGCAGCTTTACCTTGCTTGAACATGTGGAAAAACCTTCAACCCACTTGTTCTCTTTCGCCGCTCACTTGTGAACCTTGAGTTCATCCGTCGAAGTCCCGAATCCTCCAGATCCGAGGCTCAGAAAACCGACGCGGCACCAGAAGAAGGGCTCGGCCAGAAACTCATCGTCGCCAAAGTCCACCTCAACACCAATATACCTCAGTGGAGCGGCGAATAGGCTCGGCGATGGGACCAAGTCGTTTTTGTGATTTCCAGGGCCGTTGAACAAAGAAAGTTGAAATGCCAAATGCCAAAATAGCAGCACATTGTAAGGTGAAACCCAGAATTGGGGATGTGTCCTCCACCAACTGAATCCAACTTGCTTGCATTCCTGAAGCATTCCTACTGAATGTCAGGGAATAGCATGGAAGCTAGAAACTAATACAACAGCTTCCAGTAGAATCGCTTGTACTTATATCACTTAGTCCGTTGCTTACTTTGAATCTATTGATTTGATTGCCTACTTCTTGTTGCCTGAGGCTAATTTCACCTGGTCCTGGTTCATCCTAGCTGTGCAGCTGTGCCTGAAGTACGTTGCATCTGTCTTTGGCTGCTGGTAGGATTGCTGCTGCATTTGTCCATTGCTCGTGTGTTCTCTCAAGAACATGCTCTGAATCTTGCCAACAAAATCAACACTCCCATGGATTCATACTGCCTAGGGTCAAACATCTGTAGGCCCAAATTGCAATAGTAAAAGCGCTACAACCTCTGGCACCCTGGGGCCTTGTATATGTTTTTTTACCGGCCCATGCCCATATTTGAACCAGCCACTGAACGTATTCAACCAGCCGGAATTCAATGCAATTCACAAATCACCAAGCAAACACTTTTGGGTTCACCTTGGAACACAATGTGCGGGACATGTATAGATTCTTGGTTCCCCCATTCTCTGTCTAATCCCGGCCCAGATCGCCGGGCATCCTTCTGGCCGCGTGCCGCAGACCGACCGCGTCCGCTCGCCGGGGTGCACGAGATTGCAAAAGACCACCAGGTCGCAGGTCAGCGCAAAGAGCGTGTCGCTCTCAATGCGGTGAAACAATGGAATCCCAGGCATCGCTCGCGATGCTCAGGATCGTGTGGCCACAGTCAAGTTTGGTCTAGGGTTTCGGTGCAGGTCGAACCCACCAAGAGGGGGAGTCTGTGAATTGCTTCTTCTGGATGCTGGGCTGTTATTTAAACGTCGAGCAAAAAGAAGGACGCTTAAAACTTAGTGATGTTGCACTCGGGGCGTTAGTATCGTCAGTTGAAGTGCAGGTCATGTAGGAGTTTGATGCATGCTGCATGTTTATGTTCTGAGCACCCAAACTCATGTCCAAGAAAAGCAGCCTATGTCTCTATGTCAAGGAGCTTTGGAGGGATGTGGAGGGATGCTCGTGGCATCTTCCTGCGCCAAGGGTTCTGGTCTCTTACGACCCATAATACTCATTGGCTCATCCGAGCTTCGAGCCAGTAACAATGCGCGGATATATCTGAGAGTTTCAACTCGAATCATCAATTGTCAGGCAACTGATACTTTGTGATACGACCGGGATTGTCGTTGATGAAATGTTCCTTCCATTTGATAGTTTCGATGAGTCTTTCCACTCCCATCCTATTCTTCATCGTCAATGTTTTCAACATACAGGACAGTTGATTGGGAGCTACTGAAATAGCATGCCAGACACGACTGTAGCAACAAATAGAAAGGACATGAAAGGACCATAAACGAGGTATGTTATGTTCAAGTATACACTACACGATTTCATTGGGCCGTACACATTGGAAAACAAGCAAAGAACAAACAGGAGGACAGGCTGCGCGCAACGCTCTCTGCAAGTAACCATTGAGCACATAAGGCAATTTACATCAATTTACAAAGAAAAGAATGGCATCGGGCTGCACAGGTAGGCGACAAATAAAAACAAGACAGGTGACGGTGTCACCAAAGCATAACTCCGACTGTCATTACCAAGGCTCCGAACACCAATGCCAAGGTGTTCGCCTCAAGAGTAGAATGGCATGCTGCGTCCAGACTGCAGCCAGTCTGTGAAGCATTGGCAACCCCAATGTCCAGAGCCAAACAATTGCCGCATGCAGTTCTTGAAAGAGTTCAATGTCATGGCTGGCAATGCGACCAAAGACTGGGAAGTGAAGGGGCAGGAGTCCGACACGGGAGACACCTTCTCCATTGGTTAGGTCTAGCCAAACATGTTGTTGGTCAAGCCAGTTCCTACAAATGGTGATTACACAAACCCGCAGTATGCCTTTCGGTGGCTGTTCCTCATATGGCCTTTTCATTCGGGTCCTCCGGCCACTGCGATCTCGATCTCTTGCAGGAGGTGGTGGAGTGTGCTGCGCAAGTGGTACCTCGCTTCTCGTTCAGGTCCCAGTCCGAAGAGCAGACGGGTGAAGCATGAAGCAGACCGGTGACCCGTTCAGCCCTTGAGATACCTCAACGACGTGGGTGGTCTCGACAGTCACTCCTGGTAATGGAATTGGTTCGAAAGTCAAAAGACGAACCTAGAAACTCCATGAACTCCCAAATACTCAGAATATGTTCCAGGATAAGCTGCGACCTTGACCTTCAATCCTTTCTCCACTTTCTTTGGACACCAGACCCATCCTTGGTTATACTTAATTTGTTGGCCAAGACGACCCCAACAAATGCATCATCCCCATCGGCTTGTGTTCACAATGTCTACACATATAAAATGTCTCAGCACACTCGTCAAACTTGGCACATGGCAGCATCGCCGGCAATGTTTGCCAGCCTCCGATAGTGTGCCACCTGCAAGTCAACGGGCCACCGTTGCACCCCACTGCAACTCTAAGTCTCTAAGTGCTGGTTTTAGTGGCACCAGCACGGTTTCCCATAGCTGATGTCCTGCACAAGCAACCATCCGAAAACACTGTTGCCATCTGCCGCCTGAAAAGCTGATCCAGGGACTCAAAAGCTTTGGGTAACTCATCTCACCATACAAGCACAAAGGAAAGAAGCAACAGAACAATGACACCATCACCCAACGCATCCAAACCCACCACTACACAGTGGTCTTCAAAGCTTACAACGATTCCAGTCCTTGGTCCCTGATCGCAACCCCAAAAAGTGCTTGCCAGTCCATCGTGAGTGGCCATCAGAATCCATCAGAATCCATCTCCATCCCCGTCCGGGGCTGGCCATCGAAAGGAACTTGATCAAGTTGTCCAGCTGCCTGGGCTGAAAAGCGCCGGAACAGCACCGAGCGTGGCGCAGGCGACCGGTTGAGATGAGAAGGTGGCGACTCCTCTGACCTCTTCCAATTCCAAAGTTGCTGTGTTTTTTGGAGGGGGGTTCCATGATATTTTTCACCCCCATTGGTCCGTTTGCTAAGAATCCAGTGATGTTGTGTATCTTCCAAATGAATCTTAGCACCTAATGAGTCCATAGAGCTGCTACTATTCTGTCAGTGCTTGCTGTGGTACGGTTGGAGCTCTGTTGAAAAAAAGCATCTTCTCCAGTGGACTCTGCTCTCCGACGAAAGTGCTCACCCAACAGCGGAACCCAAGTGCTAAACGGCTTCGCTGGCAAGTGGCTTGTAGAGATCGAGGTATTGTTGTTGCACCTAGCAGTTTTGAGGGAGATGCCTTCATCTCACAACGGGGATTGGCCTTCCATCCTGAGGACAAGGGTGATCCTCCGGTGAAACATCCCACTGAACAACTTGGCATGTAGCGACCTGGGTATGCTGTGCGTTAAACGGATTCCCCTTTGAACGAAATGCGCTTCTGATGTACGGATCATTCATGCGATGAATGCCACTTGAAACACACATGGTACCCTTTTTTTTCCGTCAACTTCGCTTTGGGTCATAGACCTGCCCTTCTACTGTCCATCGATGTGGCTTGTAATCCATGCTGCCATGCTCCTCACACATCCCAGGTGTCATCCTGCCTCCCTGGAGGACTTGGAGCGAAAGAGTTGGTGGATACCACTGCCCTGCACTGCGAAAGCATGGGAATTCGCCAAAGCCAGCAAGCTCCATCAAACATCGTCAAACCATATTAGCCGCATTAGCCTTTTTGTCCCAAGGGCTTGAACTAGCAGACGACAGGAGGTGATCCCCGCTCCAAACAGACCACACACACACCGGAAATAAGTACTCAACTTGGGATGAACCCAAGTGCCGCATGCTGAACCAGAAACGGCCAATAAATCTCTTTAGATCCTAGATGATCACAGGCTCACTGTAGACGCAAGAGGCCAAAGTCTTGAGTAACTCCGTGTACGTTGAGGCCTAAAAATGGCACACACCCGTGGGATCACGTGGGATGGGTTGGGAGGTCTCCGTACATCCATCTGCAATTGGGTCGATTTTTCTGGGCCCCCTTGGGTCCCACCAAAGTTGAGTCTGCCGCCCGGCCCAAACTGCCCTGGCCAGTGCCAAGTCTTCACCCTCATCCAGCGCGTCCACCCAGGAGTGCCGCAACCTGGGAGAACGTTCAGAACTGAACAAACATGGTGTGGACACACGTGGACACCAACTGTTGGAGAAAAAGCATTGGCACCACATGAAAGCTCGCAATACCCGTGAATGACCGTTGTGTTCATTCTCTCACCTCACGCAGGGTGTCTTCTCCAAACAGTAGTCTGCAAAGAAAACGGGGCAGTCCAATCCATGGTTGAAGGAGAAATAACATGTCATGCAATGTTCTATCCTTTTGGTAGTTGTAATAGTGGTGCCGGACCTATGTATATACACATATGCAAGTCCATGTCCGACAACCAATACCAAACAACTATATTTATATATGTCGCACTTTTTGATCTTTTTGTACGTGACATGTTGCTCATCTGTTTGACATCTCTGATGTTGCAAGTGGATGTGGCACAAATAGGGTACTTGTCTGTCTCCCGTTGTGGTGTCTTGTGGTCAATCATTGACACATAAAAAGACTTGCAAACATATACATACACATGTTATAGTTACTCGAGCTCGATCCATGATGATTGACAGAGTCCTGACTGGTGGAAGTCGCGCGAGGGGAGGGAATCGCGCGAGCCGATCAAGATGGCCTAGTGATTCACCAATTCCCTCATCCACTGAGAACGACTCAGTTATGGGAATCCAGAGTTACCATATATCCATGTCAGGGAGTTGCCGCTGTAAAGTATCAGGGTCCAATGTCACTTGAATGTGATCAGGTCAGCCATGTTCACTCAAATCACGCAAACACCTTGGTGAAACATCCACACAGGAGTTCCGAAACAATGGCTGAACCTTGGATCTGCAACCAGGCCGCGCCATTGCAACTGACAGACCTAGACCTGCCTTTCGCCTGATCTCCTCTCCTGGCCCTTTTCGGATCAAGGGAATTCAATGGGCTTTCCGATGGTCACGGATCACACAGCTGCCCGATGCTCCCAGAGTCAATGCACGGAAATGGCCACGGTTGGACACCATTCAGCACATACAAGTAGCCTTTTCTGTGGCTGCCCTCTGTGACAACTTGATGTCCCTTGTCAATAGGGAGTATATACACCTTCGTGCCATCATCTCCTCGTGCAGGACTCACTTATCACTCTGCGCAAACTGAAACAAGCCCTCACGCTCCAAGCAGAAGCACCGACGGGCTCCAAGATGCACAAAGCTGAGGCCCTAACTCCAGCCAAAGGTCCAGCAACTTTGTCTGGCCTGGCGGACGACTGAAGCCTCCCAATTCTGCTGGTGAGACCAGGTCTTGGGAGGCCGTGCAACAGCGGCTGGGTGTGGGTGTGAAAACCCTGCTGAGTCACTTCCTAAGCTTCGGCGGCCAAGTGCCGGACAAGTTATAGCCTAGCATGTTAGTGCCGCACCTCAAGGCACTCCTCAAGGCCTTCATGTGGGGCCGATGCCGGCCCGTCGCCTCGGTCGCCTCGGTCGCTTCGGAGCTCCCAGAAGTCCCGGAAGTGCTGGGACCGGAGCAGCCTGAAAGCGCCACGGGTGAGGACCCCAACACATGAGCGGCACGGACGGTCCACGTCGTGTTGAATCCAAAGAATGTGTTGACTCAACACATGTCAGTGATCTTCTCTTTCGACTGTTATAGACCTCCAGCCTCCAAATATAAACACTAATGTATAACACATATTTAAACCATAATGACTGTACTGGTCGATTCACAACCAAGCCAAAACACCGCTCATTGTTGCCTGACCTCATGTCATGTCCCACTGGTGGAATCTTGAGTCCCCTTGAGGCTAAAACCGCAAGTTACACCAACCTGGAGCAAGTGGATCCAGTGAACAGTGACGTTTATCGTCACAACTTCTTTGAGACCTCTAAGGACCCAACCCTCACATGTTTGGACCTGTTTAAGGGTCGAAACAAGGAACGCAACATGAGTTCAGTTTGCCCCTAAGTAACACCTCTGAATCGAATGCCTTCCAATCCAATCCGGAATGTTTCAATGCCTTGGAGCCGGGTACCGGGTCTGGGCGACCGGTATGGGATGGTTTCGGTTCTCCGATGTACTACGAGGAACTCGTAGAGGATTCGACCACAATCCAGGTCCCAAAGCCTGGGCTGTGAAGAGCAAAGGAGGGTGGAGATAAGCCCTGCATGGCAGGCAAATGTAGGCATCGTGGCATCGTTTGATCATGTTTTATCAAGTATATAAAAAGGATGATTTAAACCGTACTGTGCAAACAATCATTGCGTTGTCTGATACCGTTATAAGTTATAACGGTTATAATCTGCTATGGCTTTGTCTGATGCCACAAAAACAATCCATGACCCGAGTATACTTGTTTTGCACCGCTCTGCTCTGCACGCCCCTTTGGCGCTCTTTGAGCCCTCACCGGGTCAACACGTCCGCGGCTGGACAAAGCTGTCCTGCCGTCGCTGTGAGCTGGTCGATCAAGCCATCGCGGCACGGAGAATAACTCTTCCAGAACTTCTGAATCCTCCTGGATGCTCAAACTGGCAGTCAGAGCTGCATCTTGGACTCCAAATCTCAGGTCGCCCGGGTGTGGCCACAGGTCGAAATCGCATCAAACCGTCAGCTTCTCGTTTCGCTCCAAACGAACCGCAAAGTGACCAGGAAACAGGTCGCGATGTGTTTTTCTTGTTGCGCATTGATCTTGTGAGGTGTGGAACGAATCAGCAAAAACTCCGCATCAGGATTCAGAATGATTCATATCATGATTCATATATCCTGGATGATTCTGGTCTCATCTCATTCTTGGCAGCTCAGCATCTGGTCTTCCTCATCCGTGTTTCGGCAGTAGCTGCTACTCAGGGCAGACGGTTCCTCGGCCCGCGAACTCGTCAGGGGTCGCGACAGAGCAACGTGGCCATCGTCACGGTTCCTTTCAGCATGCCTCTGTGTGTGACATAGATCACACCACTTTCGGCCATCTTCATCAGCAAGTAAGCGTCCTTCACCTCGATTCAGAAATTCAAGTTCAAGTTCCCAGCATGATACCCCCATATATGATGGTAAATTCACAAACCCAAGGAAACGTGCCCCCCCAAGACCGTGGTCCCTCAAAAGAAAAAGAAGCTTCTCTCCCTGGCCTCTCTCTTCGGCCTCTCATGGTCCAAGATACCGTGTTCTCTGGAGAGATCCGGAGTGGGCAGCCATCCACAAAGGGCTCGCTCCCATCGGAGGGCGCCAAGAACTGAGGATCCAAGAGGTCCACTTCGAGTTCAGCATGAACACCCTGTGGATCCACCCTTCGTAACAAGCGAAAGGCTTGTCCTGCCAAGACAAAACGGCCGAAGCCTGTAAATCGACGTTCGAAGTCGGCGGATGCCTCGTAGAACGAAGCCTCTGACATAAAGGGGGTAACGGGCAGGGACGGATCCATCATAGTGGAAGAAACACATGGCATGAACATGCTTGAAGATCCATGGCAAGCACATGTTGGCGATAAATTCACAGAATTGCCGCATGTGGAGCTGATTGGAGCTCCATCATGGATCTGAGTGGATATTTCCTCAACAAGTATGCGCAACAACAATGCCTGCCCCTCATGCTTCCTGACACCAGGAAAGCAGTGACAAGAAAGAATGGGACGCGCGGGCCCTAAGGGCTCCCAGCCACACTGTGTTGGATGTTGAGACGACAGCTTCTGCTGAATACAAATTGCTGTTGCACTCAAGACGTCTCGAGACCAAACAGGCTAAGAAATGCCTGAAAACATCTCAAATTTCAACACATCTTTAAAACAACAGTAACTATGTGTTCAACCCTCAAGCCACGTCGCCATCAAAATCAATCGAGATTTCGTCCATTCTCAAGCGAATGGACGAACTTCTCGAACACCGATCGGTCGACCGAACCGGGTCCCTCAGTGATGGTTCCCATCAGCAAGGCTTCGTGGCTCTTGGTCCAATCCAGTGGTCGAATGATGGGCACTAACGCTTCCGGCGCTCGCCGCACCTTGGACCCCCGAGACGAGAGTCGGGGTGCCACGCTCCGTGGCGCTGAGAAGACCGGCAAAAGATCGGATGTTGCATGTCGGTTGTTGGCCGACCTAAGTGACCCTATGGATGGGGAGTGGTTTGAGCCCAGAAAGTCCAAAAATACAACCCAAAACACTCATGGAAGTGGAAAACCACACTGTTTGTAGAGGAACATTGCGTACTCACAAGGCCCTATGTTTAACTATGTTTAACTTCCACGTCAGTGAGTCAGAGGATATCTTCATGTTGCCGCCAGCCCTTTGACAAACCAAAAAACATCAAACAAACAGATTGAACATACTGAACCGATCTGAACATCAAGGAACCTCTTTTAAGAGGTGCTGCAGGGTGAGGACTTGCGGCAAGCAGTGCTTGAGGTCAATCTCCTTCAGTGACATTGTCACCAACTCGCTTGCTCCAGGTTACACAAGACCCACATTAGACACATGAGCTGTCCCTGTGACTACAGTACATGTTTACACAAAAGACACAAAAGCCTCCAAACATTGCTACCACGTTTGGGGGAATACAAATTACACTGCACAATACGATGCAATACTTGAATCGCCACTGCCCCTGCAACTGTGTATATATTATGCTGGTCCCCAGTGGGTTGGGGGTTGTGGAACATACCCTGGTCGTTTGGTCTTGCACAACTCTTCTGCTAAGTCTTAACCGTTTCCTGGCAACATAAACTTGCATACCTGGGCAAAAGATAGCACTTTAGTCCCAACTCATGTGCGCATGAACTAGTAAGTAATGGAGTGCTTGGAGCTGCCGCAGGCATATTGTGGCTTAAATTCTAGGAATTGAAGACATGGGAACTTGGATATGGACATGTATAGTCTTCAAAAAACTGCAAAGTTTTCCCTTTTAACTTTTACCTTCGAAACCACTTTTGTTCCTAACTCATTTGCCAACGGACACCCACTGTTACCCAGGGGTATGACTTGCATTTGTCGTCCATAATATCCTTCATCATGTGTTTCGTGCATTTTTGACTATACTCTGTGCAGATGAGTTAGGAGTTTGGTGATCTGATGAGTTAGCACTTGCCTGGGGAACGTCTCAACTCATGTGCGCTGGGATGATGGACATGCTCTACGGAGACTGAAGAGACAGGAAACACACAGGGCAACCCTGCATGCAAGTCCCATCTCACAAAGGTCTGGACACGTTTCGGACACAAGGTTTCAATTGCCGGCATGCACATGGCACATCCCGTTGACATTCCATCAAAACCATTCAAAATCTTGGCGTTTGTCCACCGCCAACCATGTCGAGTCCATCATAGGCCTCACAACTCCTACCTCATGCGTTGTCATCCACAAAAACCTCTCCAAAGTGCTCCAAGGCATGCTAAAGAAAAAAACTCTACAAAGCTCATGTTGAAATCATGTTTTCACTGCCTCAGGCTCATGAGCTAGGAGTTATGTATGAAATAACACTTTTCCACATGAGATAGGACTCATGATTTTTGAGATACTTCCGCCAACTCCTTAGTCATGAGTATACAGTATATAACTTTTAATTCCTAACTCATCTGCAAAAGCCATTCTAAAAAGATGTCCGCAAAATCCCAACTCTCTTGGGACCAGTATATACTGTTTACTAGATTCAGCTTCCTGCTACCTACCTGGCGTTTAACAACACAACCACACGAAATGCAACATCCCAATGCTAGAAGTCGATCTTACTAGTATCTCCTGAATCTGTATACTGGTTTTTGATGCTTTTCTGGTCTCCTCCATGACCTTCATGATGGGGTCTAGGGCCTTGTCCGAGAAGGAGATCGCAGGGATTCCTCGCCACGAATTGGTCGTTTCACCGGATTGCCACCATGCGAACCAACCAGTTGATTTGTAAGTGCTCATGCCTTGTCCACCAAGATATTGACACAAACATGTTTGAACCAGGTTTCATTGTACTCATGGTACATGTATTCCATCATCCAGGCATCACCGACTGGAGGATATCTTAGAGGCAAGTTCCTTTGTTCGCAAACGTTGACCTTTTGCAAGACTTGCACAACCATGCGCAACCCCAACAAAACCTCCAAAAAATCATCGAACTCAAACAAAAAGATGCTTTCCCTTCCAAACTCTCAGGGTCTCGACTTTGGCGTCCTGCCAGGTTTTCGTCCGCCAGGGTGGCGTCAAAGAAGGACAAGGAGATCTGATTGGCCACAAAGACAGCCACCAGGGCCGAGCAGCTTAAGGGCAAGACGGAGTTTGGAAGCAGCAAAACCTACCAGCAGGCGGTGATAGGCATTGATTCCGTGGACCCTTGATGGGAGCCTTCGGTTCTGATCACTTTGGTTAAACTATATAATTGTCTCTAACTAATCTAACTAGTACATCGCAAAAGTATCCATGAGAGAAACTCCTGGCATCCACGTCTCTTGGCTCTTTTTGAGCCTCTTTTGCTCCTTTGCTCCTTTCGCTCCTCGCACCCTCTTTCTCCCCCCCGCGCGTTGCAGCCTCGAAGACAGCGATGGCCATGCCCACCGCACGGCACACGGCGCAGCAGAACGCCGAGGCCCCAAAGATGGCGCAGCGCGCCATGAAGGCGCCCTGCAGGGATGGCGACGGGACGAGGAGAGCCGTCCACTTCGGCGCCGAAATGGCCGACAATGTGGTTGGGGTCTTTGGATTTCGCAGACATTTGGGGATTTGGGTGGATGTGGATGGATGTGGATGAGTTCACATTTGCCCGTCTTTTTTATTCTTTTTTTGGGATGGAATCGTGGTGGCGTTGGTTGGTTTTTGGTAGAGTGAAGTGGCAAGTAGAAGGGAGTCCGATGATGCTCCTGTGTAAAAAGCTTGATGGCTCCTGCGTGAAAAAAACTACGGATGTGAATCAACTCCGATCCTCCCGGCCTTCTGCAGCTCAGAGGGTGTGGCGTTGTCGGTGGCCAGGAGCATGTCCAAGAACCTCCGGCACGTTCCCGGGGACATTCTTCATCTCGAGTGACTGGTTTTGGGATGTTTTGGGTGTGTGACAATAATAATCAATAAAATAGGGTTGCACTTGTTCCTGTTGCATAGAATACAACATCAACACGAAGAGCAGCCAACTGTCAAGACTATATAATATATATACATAAACCCC